GTTATTGTGAGACTGACGTTGTCTATAAGTCCGAAATTTCTGTAAATAGGACTGATTTTCTAAGGGTGGGCCGTAAGTACCGAAAAAGCGCGGAAATTCTGCAAGAAGGTCCGGAATTTTTTTTTTCATATTTTGCCATTTTCGTCACAATTTGAGCGAGGAATTCCAATTTTTGAAATGTTCCGAATTTCGCCAATTGCAGGTACTGAAAAAGTACTGAATTTTCGGTTGAGGAGTACTGAATTTCTGAGGAATGTACTGAAAAAGTAATGTATAAGTACTGATTTTCGGAAAGCCTGTTTTAGTACACACCCTGGTATACGCATGTTGTATGTAACTCGTCTGCGATTTTTCCGTCATGTTTTTGTTTTTTCGTTTTCGATGTGGTGATTTCATGATGGTAATCTGGTCCTGGGATTTAGATTAGTGGTCGCCTTTTTCCAGGCATTTACTCAATCTGGATGTAATCTTTATAAAGTTAAAGACATTAAATTCCATTCACGAAGAGGAAGGTTAAAAATACTGTCCAAGGTTACAGCCGTTGAGGAGGAAGCTGACGCGACACCAGAGTGTATAATTTTCATTATTGATCTCAACATAGTCGTGAGCCTCTCGTAAGAGGAACTTGCGTTAAATGTTTAATGTTCTGCGGAGCTAAGGAAGAACGCAGCATGAGTTTTCAGATGTTGCCAAATTTCCGTCGATAAAAACCGGATTTAATGGGAAAATTGTGAATATTTTTTTTACAAAATTTTTATACCATTTTGTATGCATTTTAATCTTAGAAACTGAAAATTTCAAGGAAAAAGATGCATGGATTTTATCAAAAATACATGTTTTATCAAGGGATAGTTGGCAACTCTCGAATGTTCATACGGTGTTCTTTCTTAGCCCAGCTGTGTTCCTGTGAGAGTGTTCAAAGATTCGCGTCTTGATGAGCCTTTTTCACTGGATACAATCAGGTGAAGCAAAAGTTAAAATCGGAGGTCACCGCTACTTTTCGCCTGATGATAATAATCGATGAGCAATTTGTTGAGGTCATCAGTATGCATCAACTTCTGCACTACAGCGGATTGTTGAACTTGATAGACAAAGCGATAGACAAAGAAGACAAAAAGAATATGGAGGTATCCTATTGGTGGAAGCGGGTGGTTGCAATGGACAAAGGACGCGGGTAATAGACTAACTAACGGCAACCCACGAGAGACCCGATAGTTAGTCCATCATTTACCCCCTTAGTCTATAAAAACCACCCATTTCAACCAATAGGATCGCCGTATTCTCCTTATGTCTTCTTTGTCTATAGCTTTGTCCATAACTTTCAACGATCAGCCCATAGGGACGATAGCTATGCGGAATCTCTACAGTATAGTATATCTTTGTAAAGTTTTGATAAGAGGTCGGAGAAGTGACCCTAAGTGGCGTCATTTCTGAGTTGGCCAATTAAAATGTCGACGAAAAAAAGTGAGAGTAAAGAGGCAGTACTTATTTTAAATCGGACAACACCAAATTTATCGTCGGGGCACTAAAAACCCTGTCGCACTTACCGGAGCCGCACTGACCCTCCTCGCTGTCAGTTTGTGGTACCACTAGTAAAGCCTGCAGCGTTGTCGAGTGAGGCACGGAATTCGGCTTTTTTCGGATCCTCGACCTGTGAGAACGGGTTTTTTTAAACTCGGATGCGAATGTGGCGGGTGTAAGCCGAGCCATAAAAGACGCGTATTTCGGGCAAGTTGAGCAATTTTAAAAACCCGACCCGCGAGTTATCTAGTCGGGAGATCCGAGACTTTCGTCATCGCCCATCAGCGACGAACGCTCGCGTCTCGCGTCTCGGGCGACTTACCGTAACGACGAGAAATATTCCGGCCCAAAATTTTTACGGCCCACATGGATGACCGCAGGACCGCGAATTTTTCCATCTTTGTTGAATTCATCTAGGTTGTCAATGACAATGGCGTGCAAAATAAATTCAAATGGACCAGCGGGCTGATTGTTGGAATTGTATACAAAGCTATGGACAAAGATGTCAAAAGGGATATGGAGGGATCCTATAGAGGAAGTGGGTGGTTGCAATGGACAAAGAAGGTTGATAATAGACTATCCAACGCAACGGGAACCCACGAGAAACACTATATGTATTTGGACTACATTTTGCAATTAGGAACTATAAATTCCGGCCCGGTTCATAAACAACGAATGTGCCATTAGTTTCCCCATGCACATAAGTGTTTTTTCGGATGAGCCAGAAGTTGTAGGTCCAAATTTCGAAATGCAGTCCATTTAATCCATCTTTGTCTCCCTTAGTCTGTAGGAGCCAACCATTTCAACCAATAGAATTGCTCTATACTCCTTGTCTTTTTAGTCTATCGCTTTGTCTATAGATCTCAACAATCAGCCCGCAGTTGACAAGGTGCGAATTTAGGCATCCTACACCTGCATGTCTCTCAACCAAATTGTTACGTAAAACACCAATCGCGCAACGAAAATTGCCTAAATTAATTCCTAATCAAGCTATTCAATGTTTCTAGACGCGCAAATTTTAAGTCCTCATTCATGAAAAATAAAAGTTTACGTGAGTCAAATCTCGCCCTAAACGTTGCCGCAACGGTCTCTGCGGTATGAAAATTCACAGGGTGTTTACAGGTCCGGAATTTCCGGAAAGTCCGGAAATAGTACTGATTTCTTAAGGGCGGTCTGGAAGTACTGAAAAAGTGCGGAATGCCGCAAGAAGGGCCGGGATTTTTTTCATTTCTTGTCACCTTTTGTCACAATTTGAGCGAGAAATTCAAATTTTTGAAATTTGTCGAAATTCGTGAAATGAAGGTACTAAAAAAGTACTGAATTTTTCTGTGAAAGAGGTACTGAATTCCTTGGGAATGTACTCAAAAATTACTGTAAAAGTACTGATTTTTGGCCAGCCTTGTTATTGTTTAAGTAGACACCCTGATTCGGCAGCTTGAAGCTCGATGCTTCGACTCAGCTGTTGCACGTCGTTGATACTTTGAACAACAAAAAGCGCGGAGGGAACATTGTTCAATTAAAAAACCTGCCAAGACCGTTGTAGTGGGCAATTCGATTCAAGTAGACTATTTTTTTCTCGTGAGCGTCGAATTAAAAATTCACTTATCCAATTAAAACCAAAAATCGCACTTTGATTACGTCGTATAGGAATGACGTTCCACAAAATTCTGGCTCGGCCAAAAAAAAGGGGGAGCACGTCTTATGGAGCAATGGGGCATTGACGCAATTGTTAATGCTTACTTCACCCGACTTTCATTCGATTATTTCTTGTGACGTGGCAGTCCTTGAGAATTCTCTTCTGCAGAGAGAGATAGGGATTGAAAGAGATGGAAGGGAGCGGGGAGAGAAAGCGTGAGGTATAAATAAATTGGAAACTTTTTGCAAAGTTTTCACGAGCATTAAGCACTCAGTTGTTTTAATGAGCGAATAAAAAATCGCTCTGAAATGGAGTCACTGAGGTGTAAGTGCGTTTTTATTCAGTTAGTTTTACCGTTAAAAAGTTATTTTATGTCAGCAGTTCGTCGTGATGATCACGTTAAGTTCCGTAAAATTAGAATGCCGCTTCTCCAAAATTGCATGTCTATTTTGTCAACTCTCATAAGTTTCATGATATCGGGTTGTTAATGTAAGTAAAAGAAAATTGGGTTGTTTTCTGCGGTAGTGAGTGTCAATCTCTTTTCACTTCGGTACAACATAAATCTGTACGAAAAATTAACAAATCCTGTAAATGTTAGTTTAGCACTGGTTTCTCTGTATTTTTTTCGTAAATAATGGAGCGATTATTGCGTATGATAGAATATTGCAGCTAGCCGTTCCCAAAATACCTCTTGACTTCCCTTTATTGAAGCTGTGAGAATGCAAACGCATATTATCGCATTCGATTAATCAGTTGAGTGGTACAATTTTCGCACAGATATGCTTGCAAGTGCAGTCCTCGAAATCGTCTTACCTTTGTTTTGTTGTGACACTTTAAAAATGTGTTGGGTGCCAAAACTTTCGTCCTATACACTCCTCTACTTTCAGGTTGCTTTCAGGCACTTAAAGTGTTGCCATATTTTAACCAGAAGTTGAGATCGGTATTTTCACAAATCCCCTCAGAGTCAAAAATTTCATAAAGATTGAGATAAGCATGTTCGAGGCCCAACATTTTAAGGTATGCTTGAACCCTCCTTAAATTTTTTTTAAAAAGGTGGACTTGATCACTTTAGCATACAGCGGGATACTTCCCTCATTCCCAAATGTTTCAGAGTATTCTATGGTTTTAATTGATTTAACCAAAAAATTCGGCGATCAACCGAGTCCTTTCGCCTTGTGATCTGACCGGAAAAAGTAACTCAATGTAACCCAAAGTAACCGTTAACACCACTGTCGGTGCGGGCCTCTCAAGGAAAGTAACTGTTTAAGGAACGACTTTGAATACGACCAGGGGCTGATTCTTGAAAATTATAGACAAAGCTATAGACAAAGAAGAAAAAGGATATAGAGGGAGGCTATTTGTGGAAGCGGGTTGTTGCAATGGAGTTATGAGGGAGTAACGCTAATCCACGAGAGATCCTATAGTTAGTCCATCATTTACCCCCTTAGTCTATAAGAAGGATCCATTTCAACCAGTTCATGCCTGTTTGCGATGTTTCTTCTTGACTATGTTATCAAAATTTCTGTCATAACAACATTCTCGCCTTGAAAGGTACAGCCAGGTACTATTTTAGTTCTTTACCATTTTTCTTTTCATTTATCAAATTGTGGAAGGCTGAGTCTTCAGCCGAATTGTTTTGGTTTTATTCGTACAATTTGAGCCTTGTTACCCGCTTTTTAATTTTTTTTTTTTATATTTATTGTATTTCTACCAATCGGATTGCTTCATACTCCCTGTGTCTTCTTTGTCCATGGCTTTGTCTATGAATTTGAAGAATGAGCTCGATGAGGTGTGATAGGTGATGCGGAAAAAGTGGTAGCCGGCTTGCGGCGGCGACGCTTACCTGTCGAGACGGGGAGCGAGCACGAGGAGCGATGCGCGATGCGGGTACGGACGCGGTCGGCACTCGAGTCGGCGGGCGGTGCGGTCGGGCGACTGGGGAGCGCGCGACTCGGGACTTGGTCGGTCGGAAGACGCGGATCGGGATCTCGAGACGACTGGTCGTCGTTGGTCGTGGTCGGCTCGAAAAGCACCAAGCTCGCGTAGTGTAGCGCGTACCGGATCGTTTCGTAACCGCCACCGCCCGGGCCCCCCGCCGAAGCGGATCGCTGGGTGAGGGCTTTCAGGGACGCCCGACTTGGGGCCCGAGTCGGTGGTGGGGCGCACAACGTATGTCCACTGTACAGCTCGTCGCTCCTCTGCGGCGTATCTCCATTTCCTCATGAGCCTCAGCGGGCCGATTATTGAAATTGATAGACAAAGCAATAGACGAAGAAGACAAAAAGGATATGGAAGGATCCTATTGGTAGAAGCGGGTGGTTGCAATGGACAAAGGAGGTAAGTAATAGACTAACTAACGGCAACCCACGAGCAACCCGATAGTTAGTCCATCATTTTCTCCCTTAGTCTATAGGAACCACCCATTTCAACGAATAGGATCGCTTTATATCCCTTATGTCTTCTTAGTCTATTGCTTTGTCTATCAATTTCAATAAATTGAAATTTATAGACAAAGAAGACATGAGGAGAATACGGCGATCCTATTGGTTGAAATGGGTGGTTTTTATAGACTAAGGGGGTGAATGATGGACTAACTATCGGGTCTCTCGTGGGTTGCTTTTAGTTAGTCCATCACCCACGTCCTTTGTCCAATGCAACCACCCGCTTCCACCAATAGGATCCCTGGATCCCTCCATATCCTTTTTGTCTTCTTTGTCTCTTGCTTTGTCTATCAATTTCAATAATCAGCCCGCAGAAAGCATGGATTTATACAAGGCATTTCTGCGCTGGATCTCATACCAGGACGAAGGATTGGTCGATTTATCTTAGATTGAGAAACGGAAGAAGAAAAGAGACACCCTGTCCGTCGCGCTGGCGCGGCGGGTGATTGAACATCCTCTGGAGACTTGAACGCCCGAGGAAGAAAAACAACTAGTCGCGTATGCGGAGCTTGAACTCGCGGCCTTTTCTCGACGATTGAATGGTCTTCTTGCGCTGGTCACAAAAACGCTTTTTTGTACTTACTAGTTACAAGTTACAAATTATCAAATAGCTAGTTTGGAGGCTGCGCCCCCTGACAGGTTTGCGGCCCCCGTTAAATATATAAGAAGAATGAGATAATATCAATAATTTCTGACCAAACTCCATTATGAATCCTATTATTTTAATTATTGCCACCTACTCCTCGAATATCCATACAATTTCTTGATATTGATATACATCCCGACAGTGCAACGTGAAGTTGCCCGTGGCTGAAAAGGGGTCGATGTATACAGGGTGGACGAAAAGTATGAATACTTGTAAATATCTCGAGAACGATTGCAGGTATTGAAATGCGGCTCAGACGAAGCTTCCTCAATTGGAAGGGGGCAAATGTTTTGAGGGATGCCGTGACCCCTGTCCCTTCCGCAACTTTCGGAGCCCAAGTAGGAACTCCATTGTGTGATACCTCGTCCGGAAGATCCTAAAAGAAGAACATTTTTGACACAAACCGCAAGTTGCTGTCCATGAATGTTTCAAAACGACGGAAAATTGATATCTCGATTGTTCATCAACCGATTTCACAGGTGAATTCAGGGGGGTGGGGGGGGGCGCAGAGAGCCCAACACCCCCCCCCCCCCCCCGGTTCGCTTGAAAAGGCCAGTAGAAAGATGGAATAAACGGAGAAAGGAAGAAGGAAAGACTCTTATATGGACTGCATTTTGCAATTTGGACCTATAAATTCTGGCTCATCTGTAAAAAACACGTATGTGCATAGGGAAACTAATGGCACATACGTTGTTTTAAAACTGGGCCGGAATTTATAGGTCCAAATTGCAAAATGTAGTCCAGATATCTGGCAATGATTCACGTCGAAATTAACTCAAACTGCATATTGGATTCTTTACGATTTTGGAAACTTTCCGGGGAAAGCCCCCCGTATCCCCTAACACCCTCTCCCAAGTGTCTGGATCCACCTATGACTGATACTGATGTAGATTGAACTTGCTGGAGCATAATAGAAAATCGATTTCATTCTTAATTCTTAATCCAGTGCTGCTAAATCGTGTAATAATAAGCACCGTAAAGTAGAGGATAAACTTGAGAGGCGTCTCAATTACGGAGAGCCGTAGGCACCGCTGCGCTGGGTAGAAAAAAATCGTCGCAGTCTGATAACAATGGATCTCGGGGTGACAATGGTGGAGATCGGGGGTCATCTGGTTCATATAATGTCAAGCACGTAGTAATAAGCATCGAGGGATCCCCCCCTGACGCCCCCAAAGCCCCCTACGCCCCCTTTCCGCCCGACCCCTCCACCTTCCTCGCAGTCACTCAGCGTCTAGCGTCGAAATTAGCGTCTGCGTCCCGAAACGTGCGTCTCGCGCGGCCCAATGTTGCAAAACATTGCAATTCATCCCACGGAAAAAGGAAAGAAATTGACCGTAGCAGCCGAGATCGCGGGGGCGGGGAAGACGGGAGAGGGAAGGGGCGGGGAAGAGGGGGAGGGAGAGTCGCATGGCGGCGGCGTAACTCATGGTGACATGAGGACATAATGCAAGAGGAAAAGATTGCGCGAATCATCATCGCTCTTGCAATGCGAAATTTTACTCCTAAGCATGCATATGGGTCGGAGGTAGGATTCTCGAAAAATTGCCGTGGTCTCTTATACAATGACGATGTTCGTATTCGCTTAATCTACACGGAGAAAAAAACTTCGTGCGTGGGACCCGAAGTTTAGGTCATATGGATCTCTGAAGTTTTCAGATTGAGCATCTGAACATTTAAGGTCCAGCTGCTGAGGTTTGGATCACACATCTGAAACTTCAGTTCTTACATCTGAAGTACTTTGGTTCTCACATCCGAAAAACTTCGGTTCTTACATCTGAAGTACTTCAGATGTAAGAACTGAAGTTTCAGATGTGTGATCCGAACCTCGACAGCTAGACCTAAAATGTTCAGATGCTCAATCTAAAAACTTGTGAGATCCACATGACTTAAACTTCGGGTCCCACGCACGAAGTTTTTTTCTCCGTGTATGAATCAATTTTTTCCCCCTCTATATTCGCGTAACCTAGAATAAAAGTGGGTACCTTCATCGCCAAAAATTGACTACCCGCTTCTCCAGATCGTTGAAAATCACGTGCGTTTAAGTGGGCAACGCCGATACTGTTTGTCTGATTTTCTTTGAATTTGTGTCAGTTTTCTAAAGTTTTATTGATTTTATCAGCATTTTGGTGTTAGGATCTTTTGATTTCCAAATTTTGGCGGTATTATATTCTCAGGTTTTCGAGAAATGTACCCCTAAATCCCTTTGACGCTTCGCTTATGGACGTGTTTTTGCGCGACTCAAATTGCGTGACCAATCAGAACATGGACTATCTTCCTTCAATGCTTATCATACGGTGATCTCAGAATGCAGTACGTGAATAGTCCATTTTTTTATTGGTTTATCGCTTCTCAGCGTAAGACGCGCTAAATTGGAAGTTTTCAACCCAAAGATTTTGTCAATGTAACTCAAAGAAACAATTAAATGGATTGCATTTTGCAAAAACGAACCAAGACCATTCCAATGTTGCTCGGATTTTTCAACTCACTTTTCTTGCAATAAAATTACTGAAATCTTGGAAACAAATTAAATTTACAGCGGCAATTTTCATCTTGAATTTATAGTTTACTGTGAGTCAAGGTCAAACTTGTTCAGATGATCAGTTTATGCTTCCAAGGCAAAACAAGTCGCACGATCTTAGCGACATCATTATACTTGTGGTTCTTTTTTATATCATATCAATCCAAATATCAACTGCGCGTTTGGGTTATTGTGTGCTTTCCCTCCCATTAAACCCAAAATGTCGGCTACTTTTTCTTGCTACGTTCAAGAATTTCAACTAGCGAAGGAAATTGGCATCCAAGGTGTAAGCTGTTGGCCAGAAGAGTGGCTTGAAATGGATCCCATCGGAATGAATCGGAGGGAACTGTTTGATGGTGGTTGCGTGGTGTGAGTGGCGAGCAACAAGTCGAACACAGCGCGAGTGTGTGTGCAGCGTGCAGTGTGCGGTGTGCAAGCACTTGCGCCCAAGCGGCACTTGCCATGAGAGCATCCAAGTGCACTCTCGCACCGTGTATCATCCTCCGTTTCATTCCGCGCACGGTCCGCATTTTGTCGCCGACCACTCTTAAACTGGACTCTTAAACCACTGAGGAAAAACGACGTATGAGCTTTCAGACCTCGCCAAACTTCCATATAGAAATCGCGAATTTTTTTTGGAATTTGTGGATATTTTCCTGCTAAATTTTCAGAGAATTTTATTCATTCACACAATTTTATTAAACATTTAGCGTTAACCCCCGAAATCATAACTTTTGCGTTGCTTACATTATTAGTGAGGTCTCCTAAATATTTCGTCCCTATCCGCGACGGAATGAAAATGAGGCTCGGGAAATTCGATTTTCGGTTCTAATTATGTTCCCGCTGCCCGTCCAAAAGCCGCACGACCACAGGTCAATTTTTCGGCAGCTTTTAACGAACGGCTTTTCACCGGTCGGGGGTTAATAGGTAGGAAAGCGAAGTAGCGACCACGGATTCGGTCGCCGGCACCGCAACAACGCCAATTTTATCGGAAATATCATGTTTTGAAGTATCGTCGCCTCGACACACTAATTTTTATCCGGTGAAATGGTTAAGCCCTTCACAGTGCGATCCGTGTTCCAATGGATCGTATTCGATACATATATCCGGTGAGATTGTATCGATATCGATTGGTTCATCATGTAAACAAAACCGTAAAGTCAATTGAGTAATCTGAGAAAACGGGTCTTTGTGTGATAGATTTTTGGCTGCCGTGAGTACAAAATGGCAATGACAAGTGAAATCCTTAGGAATTGTCTCATTTTCAGCTTTTCCAATTTAAATCTTAAAATTTTGCTTGAGGTTATGTTCTATTGTTTTGAATCAAACGATACATCGAAGCATCATCGAATAAGATCTACGTAAAGGCTCTGTTTCATCGTCCTCTTTCCTAAATTCCACTTAGACGCCTTGTTCCTCAATAATGA